TTTTTTTTTTCTTTTTTTGTGGTACTGGGGATTGGAACCAAGGGCCTTGTGCATGCTAGATAAACACTTAACCATTAGCTACATCCCCAGTCCCCATCTTTTGCTTTTCCATATAATTATATAATGAGTTTTTCAGTTTCTTTTTAAAAATACCTTCTATAGGTCTGAAATATGAGCAGATTTTTGTGATTTTCACTTTAGTGGTGTTGTGCATATTTTTTTATTTTTATGTTAATGTATTTTATGATTGGAGGGTGGTTGGCAGTCCAAGGGTTTTGAAATCAGGGTCACGTGCTTGCTTGGTAGGCACTCTACCACTTGAACCTTGCCCCCAGTTCTTTTTGCTTTAGTTATTTGTGGGATAGCATCTCACATTTATACCCACACCTACCTGGACCCTCCCATTTACACTTCTCTCATAGCTAGGATGACAGGTGCATACCACCACACCCAATATTTATGGGTTGAGATGGGAGGGTCTGACTATTTGCCCCCACTGGTCTTGAACTGAGATTCTCCTGTTCTCCACCTCCCACATAGCTAGGATTTACAGGCATTAGCCACCATGCCCAGACATAGCACTATGTTTTTATAAATGATAGTGTTTTTTAGTTTCATTTTCCAGTTCTTGGCTAGTACAGTCATACCTGGAAATATGTAGGTTTGGTTCCAGAGCACTGTAACAAAGCACATACAGCAATCACAGAATTTTTTTGTTTTCCATTGCATATAAAAGTTATGTTTATGCTGTACTGTAGTCTATTAATTGTATAATAGCATTATATCTAAGAAAGCAGTATACATATCTTAATTAAAACCCAGCCTAGGGAGAAATGAACCAAGCCTTGTATGCACATATGAATAATAAAAGAAAAATGAAAAAAAAAAAAAAACCCAGCCTAGCGTTGAGCTAGGTTGACACACACCTGTAATCCTAGTTCCTGGGAGGCTGAGGTAGGAGGATTGTTAGTTCAAGGGCAGCCTGGGCTTCATAGCAAGACCCTGTCTCAGAAAACAAAAACAAGAAAATACACTTTATCACTAAAAAATACCAACCATCACCTGAGCTGTTAGAAAAATAGCACTGGCAGACTTGTTCAACTCAGGATTACAATAAACCTTCAATTTTTAAAAAACACTGTGAACCAAATAAAGTGAAAAATACAGTAAGATATGCTTGTATATAGATGTACAACAGATTTTTGTATCTTGATTTTGTCCCCTGTGACATTTACTTAGTGGTTTTCTTGTGGGTTTGTTTTATTTCTTCCTTTCCAGTCTTTATGCGATTGATTGATTGATTGATTGATTGTTGGGTTGCACTGTCCAGGAGAAAATCTTTAGTGCAGTATTGAATAGAAGTAGTGAACATGAGGGTACATTTCTTGTTGCTGATCATAGGGAAAAGGCATTCAGTATTTTACTCTTGTATAATGTTAACGATAGGTGTTTCATAAATGCCTTTCATCAGCTTAACATTATTTCTTAGGTTTTTTTGTTTTAATTTGTTTTGGTGATAACTGGGGATTGAACCTAGGCCTTGTACTTTCTAGGCAATTTCTATTTGATTCATGACCCCAGCCTGTTTGGTTTTTAGGGCTTTCTTTGGTTTTTTGGTGGTACTGTAGTTTGAACTCAGGACCACACACTTGCTAGGCCCTACCACTTAAGAAATACTCACAGATCTTGTGGGGCTTTTTTGTTTTGTTTTGTTTTTTTCCTGTTGTTGTTTTGAGAACATTTCACTATATAGTGCTGATCTTCAACTCATGGTCCTTCTGCCTCCACCTCTTGAGTTCTGGGATTACTACAGGTGTGTAACCACTATGCCCAGCCTGTTTTTACACTTCTCAATTCCAGAGCTTCTGTTTTGTTCTTTTCTTTTTTTTCTTTAAGAATTCAGTTAAATATGTATTGAACAAATGCAGAATGAATGAACTAAGGGGTTTGAATCTGAAGGTACAAATAAAAAACTTCAAATATTCAGAAGGCTGTCACACACATAAAGAATGAAAGATGTGTTCAGCATGTCTTCAAAAGGCAGTACTTAAACCAAGGGATAAAAATAAGCAACCAACAGGCTAGAGGAGAATTGTACAAAGTGTTACCACTTATTGTAATAGCTTAATGCATTCCTTGCTTCACTTTTCTCTTCTTCTGAAAGGCACATTAGAGCTCACTACTTCTCATGATCTTCTTAAATAGCGTTTCATCACAGGCCTTCTATTGCCAGCAAGGGATGCAATCATACCACTGGAAAAATCTAATGGTAGCAAGCCTGTTTACTCAGGAACCGGCCTATTTCTTCCTCAGCTATGTTTCCATATTCTACCTTAATGATTCTTTGGAGGTGAGGAAAAAAGAAGCACATTCTCAAAAGGGTGAATCACAATACTGGCAGTTAAGGTATGGTCCCTAGTTCGGTAGTCCTCACCCAAGTGCATCAATTAGTAATGTGGATAGGGATGTGTGTTAGGCAGGGAGAATACAGCTAACACCTCTGTTCCATGTGAAGTAGAATAGCTTATTGTATGAATTACTTGGAAATATTAACTATCTTCATAATACTCATTGACTCCAACCAAATTGCTAAATGGCAGAAAATGAGAACTGCTTCAACAGTTATTCAGCATGATATTTAAGGACAAAATACATATACCATATTGTATATTATACATGTATTTTATCATATATTCAATAGGAATGCTGAGGTGCTCACTCCATCCAGTAAATTGAAAATAAAACTACATTTCTGTATTTGTCAGTATACAGGATTCTGAAGGTGGATCTTGAACTCAGAATGATATATCAGTTTTCAAGGAAAGCCACATAATTGGTCAGCCTGGGCAACTCCTATTCATTGGGGATTGGTGGAAGTAGGGCAGGCTCTAATAAGATGATAAACCCATTGAAGGAAACATTGGCCCTACAAATGGCTTCCTGGGCAGAACCATTCTTGTCATGGAGTCAGCTTGCCATCCTTGTTCCAATGTACTTTTCATGGCCTCTTCTGTAGGAAGTCCGCCAAAGGCTACAAAATCATCCATAATTATTGAGGTGTATGCCTGAGAGAACAGGGTGAAGTTGCATCTCCTTGTTACATTTCTAAGTTCTTTCATGAGTGGCTGCACCATTGCTGGATGTTAATGGTTGAATAGATCCCAGGGACATTTATCTGCCAGATTTTTTGTCCTACTGACCAAATTCCCCCAAGTTCAGAATTTGTAAATTTTTATAGCAGGCAGGATCCTTTTCCAAAGAAATCTTGTATTATTCATGTCATTATGGAGCAAATATAAAGCTAAAAGCTGACTGTACACTGGGGTATAGCAAGTCCTCCAGGGCCTTGGGGTCCTGGTTCTTGCACTGATCCAGCAGCGTTTTGAAAATGAAGGCGCTTTCCCTCATCACTGCCACTGGCATCTTCATGGCCAGTCTCACCACTACGCTGACTGAACCCCAGATTCCTATTTTGTTCTTTTTATGACTTCTTTCTTTTTGTTGATACTCTGTATTTTGTTAGACATTATTCTCACCCTTTCCTTTAATTCTTTAGGTGTGGTTCCCTTTACTTCTTTGTCTAGTAAGTTCAAAGTGCAATGATAGCTGTATTCACTGCTTTATTTTGTATGTATGGCTCACTTTCTTGGTTCTTTGTATATCTTAAAATGTCAAAAACTAGACTTTTTTGGGGGATGGAACTAGGGTTTGAACTCAAGGCTTGACATTTGCAAAGCAGGTGCTCTGTGCTTGAACCAAACCTCCAGCACCAAAACTGGACATTTTTACATAATGTAATGTGCATGATGTGGCAACTCTGGAAATCTGATACAACCACCACCTACGGCTGCTTGTTTCAGTTGATTTTTGCTGTTGGTATTTGCTTAGTGTCTTTTTCTGATCTAATCCATAAAATTGGTGGTGTTTTTCTTGTGTGGCCACTGAAGTCTCTGCTTGGTTAGCTTAATGGTGGTTAAATATTTAACAGGGATTTCCTTAAATGTCTAAGACCTGTAACTGTCCCAGTCTTTGCTGATTGGCTGTCTGTGTTGCCACATGCCTTCAGCCCTCCATCAGCCACTGACAGCTCTGCTTCAGTCTTCACTTCTGCTTTGCAGAGCCTTATGGTCAGCCAGAGGTGTGAGTTTTTCATGACTTTCCTCAGGCACATGAATGGCCTTGCACACACACATAGCTTTCTAGGTTCTCAAGACTGTCAGAGCTTTTTCAAACACTTTACACTTTGGGAATGTCTCATTTTTTCTTTTAAGCATTTTGGTTTGGTCTTTTTTTGGTTCCAACTTGTTTTATCTATTATCTCAAACAGAAGAAAAGTTTATCAGTTGCTCTGTTTTTGACAAGCCTACCCCTTCTTCACTCCAGTCTGGCCAAATAAAGATAGCTTTGCAAATGGACTTTTCCAAAGAACCTCCTGAGAAGAGAAGTAGTGAAAGTTGTCGCAGAATAAGGCTTCGAAGAGCTCCATTATTATCCTTTCCTTTCGGGTAGCTTCCAGGCTACTGGTTTACACCATGACTGTAAGCTGTTCATTTTTAAGACTTCCAGAAAGCTTGAGGGAGAGAGAGAAAGTAAAGTTGAAATGTACAAAGCTCACCAGTCTTACCTATTTCTCTTGAATAATTGCTCCTAGATCTCTGCAAATTTGGTTAATTTCCAGAGTTCTTTAAAGATTAATGTTTAAAATTTTTGCTGGTTTTCATGTTGCTTTTATGGAGTAGAGTTTTTGGAAGTTCCTGTTACTCTACCATTATTGCTGACATTCTCTGTAGCATTTTAAGTACACTGTTCAGAGCTTTATGTAACTTATTAATTGTAAAAGTTTGCATGTAGTTTATGGTAATGTCAGAAGGAACATCTCACTTAAATTTTTTAAGTAATGAGTGCTGAAAATTTACCTGCTTTACCAATACTATTCTTAATTTTGGGTGGCCAGGGTGTAAAACTTTTTAAACAGAAGTGTGAACATTGACTTTACAACTGACCTTCAGCAAAGACAATGTTCAGTTTTTTTAAATTATTTTTTAGGGAACACCTGGCACTTACTTGACATCTCATAATCAGGCTTCTTATACTCAAGAAACAGCTAAGCCCTCAGTGGGGTCTATCTCTCTTGGACTGCCACGGCAGCAGGAATCTACCAAATCAGGTCAGTGACTTAGTGCCGTCATAATGCATCTGCATCTGTAGCATTATAGCTAGTATTTCAGTACTTAATCTCTTTGTATTTCTCTTGCTTTTATCCATAGCTACTTTGCCTTATATCAAGCAGGAAGAATTTTCTCCCCGAAGCCAAAACTCACAGCCTGAGGGTTTATTAGTCAGGGCCCAACATGAAGGTGTGGTCAGAGGTAAAGTTGTATGCAATTTGATGGATATAATATGCTTTTGCCCAGTAAACTTACTGAAGTAAGTCATCAATACAGTAAATGCTGAATTGTAAGTGGTAGACTTTGAATTCTAAGGTTAGGTGTTCTTTCCATGTAAAAATTTTACAACATTGAAATTTGAGGACGTAGCTTAATGGTAGAGTGCTTGTTTATCATGCATGCACAAGGTTTTGGGTTCCATCCCCAACACCAAGAAACCCTGAAGTTCCATATGTCATCAGCCCTTCTTAATCATTACAATATTATTTTAGACATGGACTTCAATAAAACAAAAAAAATTGTTCACTGCTTTTTTTTTCCTCCCTTCATTCTTCCACCAAGTAGGGAATATAGCCGGGAAAGGGGGGGGGGGAGCCACAAAGGTGAGCAGTGTAATCTGCTAATGGTTTTTGGTTTTTATTCAGGTACCACAGGAGCCATCCAAGAAGGAAGTATAACTCGGGGAACTCCAACCAGCAAAATTTCAGTGGAGAGCATACCATCCCTACGGGGCTCTATCACTCAGGTTAGAAGTCTCCAGAGCTTTTGCTATTCTAGCAATACAGTAGTGCTGTAGTTAAGTTGTTCACTGTTCTGGTTATGTTCTGGGTTATGGAATAGGGTCTCAGTGATAATAAATCCCAGATCTACCAATCATCTGTAGAAAAACATTAATTTTAGCCACAAACTGTGTTATCTATACTGTGGTTCACTGGAAAAAGTCAGTTATTTGCATAGTTTCAGAAGAAACATGCTACAGTTTATATAGCTCTCCACTGTCTTTGTCACAAAGCTTTTGACCATATGCTCAGTTTAAGTAGAAATTGAGAAGAAAATGATTAAGCATTATTTGCTTGCTTTTCCCCCATGAAAAGGTAATATGAAAGCTATCTTGTTAGAATCTAATGCTGAACAGGGATTGCAGATGATTATGACAAAAGGTCAAATATCTTTTCCCAGTTTGGGGCTAAATAATTTGCCAATTTTGATTAATGAAAGGCCTTTCTTTTCCTTACTTATATGTAATTTTTTACTTGAATATAAAACAGTACATAACTTTTTTATTACGTAAACATGGAAAACGGAAAAGCTCTATTTTGCAAAATCCTTAAAAACAGATACTCTTCTTTTTGCACATTGACACATATTTTTGCAATATTGCCTGTTTTTGTCTTGTTCCTGTTCCCTAGGACAGTGGTTCTCAAAGTGTGGGCTCCATATCAGTAGCATCAACATCACCTGGGAAGTTGTTAGACATTCTCGGGCCTTGCCCTAGATTTAGTGAAATCAAACCTTAGGGGTGGGTCAGCAATCTGTTTTTCTGAGCCTTCCATCAGTTCTGATCAGTCCTTGAAAACTAAGTGTGGTATATGCACCAAAGCATCAGTATCACTTATGACCTTGCTCGAGTAATGCAGAAATGCAGTGCTCACTCCAGACCTTATGAATTAGAATCACTATTTTAACAAGATTCTCAAGTGATTCTTCCCGGAGACATGGCTTGTATGACATACATGATCTAGAAAGTTACATACTAGCTCTTCAATTCTCTTCTTACATATTTGGCCAAAGAATGCATTCCATTCTCAGAGCAATTTACACTTTAATAGGGATAGAAATAAAATAAATGGGGCCTAGCTGTATTATTTCTCTTCATACTTTTTATCACTTCAGTATCCAAACTTTGAGTAGAAGATAGTAAGAACTGGTTTAAATGAGGCTAAGTTTTATCTGTTTATTTTTAAATCTGTCCATTTGACATGAACATTTCTAGAATGGGTGTTAAGGATTTCCAGATGTGTTTCCTACTGAGTTCACTTTACGATTAAATGAGTTAAATGTATTGGTCTTGTCATTCTTCCTGCTTAAGCATGTGATTTCAGACCATGCTCACTAGAGCTTTAGGGGTCCTCAGCATTTATTGGAGATCCTGCGTGAGTGAGTGGGTAGGTCTAGGCCTCTACTTTTCAACCCAAGTTGCTCACTTCTGCAAAGCGTTCTACATAAAAGGTTCCATAAACAGTTTCCCTTGAAGGAAGGGCTTGCTGCTTAAAGTAAGGGTATAAAGACCTGCACCCACTGACAACCTAGAATACTAATGATGAAAATTCAGATGATGTGACCTAAACCAAATCATTATCACAAAAAAAAGGCACCTGATATTTTTTGATGTCCAAAGGCCCAATCCAGCAGACAATTTGATATTTGCAAGTTCTTTTTTCCTCTTATCACCATATGGAAGTTGTAGTACTCTAAATTTAAAATGTAATTTATTCTTATTTTTATTAGAAATTTTATAAAAATTTTTTATTACATTTGCACAATTTTAGGCCTAAGCCATACGTCTTTTCTAAGAATTAAGTTGCTCAGTAGACATTAGGCTTCAAGGTGGGGAACAAAGCTGATTCACCTCTTATACCTATCATTTTTAAGAGGATTTCTGTGACTAGGTTCAAGGATGAAGGTATAGCATTTCTTTGTGTTTATGAAAATTTAATGTCTGGTTCCTTCTCATGTGCTGCGCTTTCTTTAAAGATATGGATAGTTCTAACTCTCAGAGTGGTAGGTTAAATTTTCTGAGTATCTTGTGCCTTCTCTAAGCTTGAATGACTCTTCGGGTGCTTGTGTTTGATTTGATGGCAGGGGACCCCAGCTCTCCCCCAGGCTGGTATACCAACTGATGCTTTGGTGAAGGGATCCATTTCCAGGATGCCCATTGAAGAGAGTAGTCCTGAGAAAGGCAGAGAGGAAGCTGCATCCAAAGGCCATGTTATTTATGAAGGCAAAAGTGGACATATCTTATCATATGATAGTAAGTATTGTGTATATTCACTGATGCTTATCTTCATATGTGTAACTGGAGACATCAATTCTGTCTTTCTTAGATCTTATTGTAGGTAGGAAAAGTGTCTTAGTTTAGCTTTAATGGAATTACTTTTATTTTAATGGGATTCCTATTTTATGAATTAGGGAGTAGATAATTTGATAATCATGGAATGAAAATTGAATTTAAATTCTCCTTAATACAATTTTTTGTTTTGGTGGTACTGGGATTTGAACACATGGCTACAGTAGAATAGGCAGGCACTCTACTGCTTGAGCCACACTTCCAGTCCTCCTCAGTAAAACTTTTAATGTCTGTCTATGTATGTAAACTTTCTTTAGATGCATTCTCAAGTTACATTTTCCCTGTAATAGTGTTTTATGAGAATGACTCAAATGTGATATGTTAGCCAAGAGACTAACTGAGCTTAAGTTCTCACTTGCCACCATCTTTGTGACTTAGGAGTATTCATTTGCTATGCTTTATCTTTCTTTTCAATAGACTTTTTTTTGGAGGGAGGATGGTACTCTGGTTTGAACTCAGGGCATTGTGCTTGCCAGGCAGGTCCTCAGCCACTTAAACCATACCCCCAGCCCTATCTTTCTCTCAAAACACAAAGAAATAAAGTATGTCCAGTAGTAACTGATGCTGCAAAATGCATGGTAGCCTTCTTCCTTCCTCCTTTCTTGTTTTAGCACCTAACCTATTTCGATTATCATTTTATTTCTGGGGCAAAGAAATTAAATGGACATTGCTCATTCCAAAAATCTAAACATCTTTCTGATGTGCCCCTTTTCTTTAGACATTCATCAAATCACTAAGTTATTTCTGTTCAATTTCGTGAAGTCTTTTAGAAGCCATCTAATTCTGTAGTCTTTCCTGCCACCATCATCTTTTGTGTGCACAACTCAGTGCTTTATATCATGTTGCTTCCTCCTTGACTCTCATTGCCTTGAAGATAACTGCAAGCCCTCTCCCTTGGCTCCATCACCCCTCCGTGTTCTGCTTCTTGCTTACACCATCAGATTGTTTGCTTCTCACTTTTATACTCTGCCTCCCTGCATTCCCCGCCCTGCATTCTCCCAAACTCCACCCTCCATGTCACCCCCATCCCCACCCTGCGCCTTACACACACTCTCACAACACTGAAGTTCTTGTACCATACTCTTGTCCTGAGGTCTTCTGCTCACCATCCCTTCTGCCTAGTTTTCCTCCCTTTACCTTTGACTTACTCATCCTTCAGTTCTCAGCTTATACATTATTTCTTCTAGGCAGTCTTTCCTGATTCTGGAAGTGTCAGGCTTCCCTCCCAACATTATCATAAAATATTTACTTCTTTCATAATACTTATCACAGTGGACAGTAAGGGCCTATTAATTTGTCTGCATTTGCCACTGTTAAGTGAGTTTCATGAGGGAGGCGCTTAATTCATTAACGTTTTCTGCAAGTCTAGCTTATGCCTGGCACACAGGCATAGTATATTAAAAAAAATATCAAAATGAATGAAAGCATTTTCATGTATGTCATCTACACAGATACAAATTATAGGCTAGAATAAGTTATTTTTATAAGAGACTAAAATTAAGATGACTTATTTACTGTACGTTGTAGGCCTTGGGCTCTGTATAATTCTTGTTTCTGTATTCTGCAGATATTAAGAATGTCCGAGAAGGGACCAGGAGTCCAAGAACAGCTCATGAAATCAGTTTAAAACGAAGCTATGAATCAGTGGAAGGAAATATGAAGCAAGGAATGTCAATGAGGGACTCTCCTGTGTCAGCACCATTAGAGGGTAGAGTGTTATTTCCAAAATGTCACTTAGATTCAATTTTTATAATAAGTTTGTATTGTTGCATTAAATTGTGTTCAATCTCTGTTGTTTCTACCTGCAATTTATAGTAATATAATTTAAATTTTATGTTATCAAATCTATATAAATCAGGTGGCACTTGACATTGAGGGAAGTAAAAATTGAATGTAATTAATCATAACAGGTAATTATTAAAATGCTCTTATTTAAATGCTTATGTCACTTGTTTCTGTTCCAGTGAGTTTAAGAATGTAAAATTTATTTTGAAAACTTTTTTCAATTGCAAGGCAGATAAAGAGCAAAGACATGAATTTGAAGTGTAGCTTCATCCTTTCCTAGTGGATTTCTCTGTGCTTGTTTCTTTCTCTAGAAATTAGAGATTGTACTCACCATTGTGTGAGGATTAGAGACTTTTGTCCAACCTGGTGCTAATCATGTGATATGCATTCAGTAAATGATCTCTATGGTTTAGTTTAGTTTTGTTAATGACTTACCTTCTTGAAATCTTAGCCTGTTTCAACTAATTTTAATGAAGGTGAAATAACCAAAAGCAAGCTAAATCCTATGCAATTTTCTAAGAATTGGATTTTCTCTATTTAAAAAAAAACAAAAACCCTCATTTACCTTTTCTTTAGGGTAAATATGTATGGTTAGTTCCAGACTTTGATTCATGTTTATCAGCAATATAATGTAAAACTTTTAAATTATAAATAGAGGTTATTTATAATTCTTTCATTGAGATTTGCTTGTTTAATTTATTTTCTCTATTTTTTGTGATATCTGTACTTCACATTTTCCCAGGTATATTTCAAAGTTAAGCAGTGATTCCCAGTCTTACATGTTCTTTACCCTTGATAAAGAGGTGTTGAGATTTTAGATTTAGCTTTGAAGGTATATTTCTTCTGTTTTTTGGGTTTTTTTTTTTCTTCTCGGTACTGGGGATTGAACCCAGGGCTTCCAAACATGTTAGGCAACTGCTCTACCACTTGAGCCATGCCCCAGCCCTTTCCTTCTGTTTTGACCTATAATTTGGTGTTTTTCAGGGCCATATTGTATTTAGGAAAATGTTTACAAAGAACTATGTGATGTCATTGGAAATTTCTGATTTTTATTTTTTTCCCATCTTGTTTTTCTGGATCGTTTACAAATTAAAATGGGACATCCTTTCCTCCATTGAACTTTTTTCAAAAATATATACTCGTAGGATGCTGTTTAGTACATGTGAATGGACGTGTACATTTTGTTTAATAGTTGCATTTCTTTCTTGTTTTGAAAGGGCTGATATGCCGAGCATTACCCAGAGGAAGCCCTCATTCTGACCTCAAAGAAAGAACTGTGCTCTCTGGCTCCATAATGCAGGGTAAACTTTCTGCTGATTTTTTTTTTACTTATAACTGCCTCACTGATAAAGTAATTTGACATCAATTTTACAGAATACGACAGAATATGAAACCTGTCTTTCAATGTATTTTCCCTTTTGAAATATTTAATATTAAATCTTGATTATAACTCGTCGATCTCTGAACTATGTAGTTTATCAGAAGATGATAGTTGCATAATCTTTTAACATTGAGATATTGTTACTGTGTAACATCCATTCTGTGATTGTATATATCTTGAACAACCCCAGTCATCCCATGACTGATACTTGAGAACCTATTACAAATAGAGTTGATTATAAACTGCAAGGCATTTTTTAAATTATAGCAAAATATCATATCAAAATTTACTATTTTAACCTTGTATGTATGTATGTATGTATTTATTGTCATTGGGGTTTATACTCAGAACCTGCACTTGATAGGCAGGCACTCTGTCACTTGAACCATGCCCCCAGTCAGTTTTGCTTTAGTTATTTCTGGGATGGGTCTCACATTTATGCCCAAGTCTGTCTTGAGTGAGATACCCCTATTTACGCCTCCCACATAGCCAGTAATGACAGGCAGATGGCAACATGCCTGACTGTTTTAATCGTTTTTAATCATACCGTTCATGGCATTGTTTTGCAACCATCGGTATTAGTTTAGTAAGTATGTTCCTGAATTCTTTTTAAAGGCACACCAAGAGCAACACCTGAAAGCTTTGAAGATGGCCTTAAATATCCTAAACAGATTAAAAGAGAAAGTCCTCCCATCCGAGCATTTGAAGGTGCCATTACCAAAGGAAAACCATATGATGGCATCACCACCATCAAAGAAATGGGCCGTTCCATCCATGAAATCCCACGGCAAGATATTTTAACTCAGGAAAGCCGAAAAACTCCAGAAGTGGTACAGAACACAAGGCCAATAATTGAAGGTTCCATTTCCCAGGTAACTAGATCGTGACTCTTCTGTCAATAGTTCTACTTCAGATCGACATTTATGAAACATTTTTCAAAAGTATGATTTAACAGTTCAAAGCAATTCTTATGTCATACCTTTTGGAAGTAAGTGACAATGTTTACGTACTTTTCACCATGGGTTTTTCTTGTGTCCCTAGTGAGGCTTGAGTAATGTGGGAAAGTGTTGGTTCATTGGTTGGGATTGTGATGTCCACAGAGACCGTAAATGTCACCACAGCAAACTAACTTCCATGGGCCAGACATAGACCCAAGATAGAACAATATCCAAATGGCTTGGCTACCCGTAATGTTTGTTTCTTTCTCTTTAGGGCACACCAATAAAGTATGACAGCAACTCAGGTCAATCTGCCATCAAACACAATGTCAAATCCTTGATCACTGGGCCTAGCAAACTACCCCGTGGAATGCCTCCACTGGAAATTGTAGCAGAGAACATAAAAGTGGTAGAACGGGGAAAATATGAGGACATGAAAGCAGGCGAGCCAGTGCGTTCCCGGCACACATCGGTGGTGAGCTCTGGCCCCTCCGTTCTCAGGTCTACACTTCATGAAGCTCCCAAAGCACAGCTGAGTCCAGGAATTTATGATGACTCCAGTGCTCGCAGGACTCCTGTGAGTTATCAAAACACCATATCTAGAGGCTCACCCATGATGAACAGAACTTCTGATGGTATGTTACTTTTGTTGCCTGGTATGATCATTTTTACTATACTTTCTCACCTTTGGCAAATAGGAAATAATCAGATAGGTAGCTTTATAGATTATCACAAGATCTTGAGACTGTGCATGAAACTAGGGCCATAGAGTGTACAAAATTAGCCATAATTTTAGGCAAAGTACCTAACTGTTTAAATTCAGCACAGGTATGATGTCTAGAAATGCCCAGCGTAAGCATATTTTTTTTTAATGGATTTTTAGCCTATCATGTAAGGTTTTCTGAAAGTCCGTTTTGGCACTTGTTTCTCCAGGTGGTAGATGAAAGTTTAGGCTCTAGAGCAAAACTTCTTAGGCTTGAATTAAACTTACACAAGTTACTTTTCTGTGCCTTGGTTTCCTCATCTATAAAATGGTAACGTACTACTAAGACCTACCTGGATTCTAGTAAAATAAAATGAGATAGTGCACTAGCTGGGCATGTTGCCACCTGTAATAATAGCCAGCGCTTGGGAGGCTGAGGCAGGAGGATCATGGGTTTAAGGCCAGACTGGGCTACATAGTGAAACCCTGTCTCAAAGATGATTTAGCGCACTTAAGGAACTTACCATAGATTCTAGCATATACCACTCAATAATTATCAACTCTTATCATCATCACAACCCCATGTTGCTGTGAACTACATCATCACTAAGGTGAGAGGGCTTAATTTTTTTTTTAAACTAGGTGGTCCCTGAAATAGTCAAAGACCCTTAAAAATTCATCTTATTTTTAATTTCATTATAATACATATTATATTGAGGGGTCAACAGGTGAGGTCCTGGGCTGGTAGGTGAATTGTAAAGGTGAAAAAGGGAAGAGAGGAGTAACACGGGGAGGAAGGAAGGGTGTGCTCAGTTTGGGTATGGGTAGGGGTATGAATCCAAATCTGTTTGCTCTAGTTTGGACTGAGAATTGCCCTCCAGTAGGAAAAGGCAACCACAATTGAACAAATTGGGCTTTGAAGGGAATCTGATAAACCAGTGTAGTTTAGAGGTGGTTTTTTTGGCTTTCTTTTTTTTTTTTTATTTATATGTACATACAATGTTTAGGTCATTTCTTCCCTGTCCCCCCACCCCCTCCCTTACCAGCCACCCTACCCACTTCCTCTCCCCCCAAACCCTCTCAGTACCCAGCAGAAACTATTTTGCCCTTATCTCTAATTTTGTTGAAGAGAGAGTATAAGCAATAATAGGAAGGAACTAGGGTTTTTGCTAGTTGAAATAAGGATAGCTATACAGGAGTTGACTCACACTGATTTCCTGTGCCTGTGTGTACTTCTAGGTTAATTCTTCTTGAACTAACCTTTTCTCTAGTTCCTGGTCCCCTTCTCCTATTGGCCTCAGTTGCTTTTAAGGTATCTGCTTTAGTTTCTC